GCCTCTCAACCTACATCCCCGTGGGCGGTCACTCTCTCTCTCTCTCTCTCTCTCTCTCTCTCTCTCTCTCTCTCTCTCTCTCTCTCTCTCTCTCTCTGTGTGTGTGTGTAGCATGCAGAAGACCGCTACGGTAGTTATAGTACATGGCAGCTGTGTTTGTACATCTGCTTTGGGTATCAGTTGTCGGGCAGTCGATACTTAACCAGAGCCGGGGTTGGGTTCGATTATATCACTTAAAAGTGTAATCAGTTATGGGATTCTGCAGACTGTAGAGGGTTCTGTTTGTGAAACTCCGACGAACCAGTTTGTCACAGCCCCTTGTTTGTTGTCCCCTTCTCCCTCTTTGCCCACAGTTTCACCTCAGTCACTGATTCTACCGCTCCTGAGCAAAAGATAGAGAGAAGGGAGAACTACGTGTATGTTGGGTCCTCTCGACTCTCGCGTATGAAAAATCTGTTCGTGCCGACAAAGATTACTAAGTACAAAGGCACATTTTGGTAATCGTACACCTACTTCAGACTTTCAGCCATATCTGTACGGATATATATATATATATGAAACTCCGACGAAATAGTTTGTCACAGCCCCTCGTTTGTTGTCCTCTTCTCTCTCTCTGCCTACGGTTTTACCGGGCAGTTCTGTTTGTGACGATATATATATATGTACGATATATATATATATATATGTCACAGCCCCTCGTTTGTTGTCCTCTTCTCTCTCTCTGCCTACGGTTTACCGGGCAGTTCTGTTTGTGACGATATATATATATATAGACTAAGAGGGTTTGGCCTCGTGATGAGTCCGTGAATCTCCGACCGAACAGTCTGTCTGTGACAGGCTCACAGCCCCTCTTTTGTTGTCCTCTTCTCCCTCTCTTTTGCTGTCGCAGTTCTCTATGAAGATATAGATATGCGAGTGACCACATAAATTTATGTCACAGCCCCTCGCTTGTGATAGCGCATACTTGTGTACGTGCATCTGCTTTATATGTCACAGCCCCTCGCTTGTTGTCCTCTTCTCCCTCTCTGCCTACGGTTTACGGGGCAGCTCTGTCTGACGATATATGTAATATCTTTGATTCTTTGCATAATAACATCTATAAAATATACATAACACAATACTATATAGTAAATACCGAGAAAGGTATCGGTATTCTCGTTTTTTTTCTCGGTATATATAGAGGAAACAAACCGAGAATATCGATACCTTTCTCGGTATTTACTATATAGTATTGTATTATGTATATTTTATAGATGTTAGAGAGAAAAACCGAGAATATCGATACCTTTCTCGCTTTTTTTTTTTTTTTTTTTTCCCCCAACTGCTCAATGGCTCCATTCTATTGGTGGGGAGCTGCACCTGCTGGAAACCGGGTCCAGCGTCCCATGCAACCAAAATGAAATCGTTCAATACAAAAAGTTGGTAGGCCTCTTCACCCAAGGGCGCCTGAAATGAATGTTCCCCTAGCCTAGCTGACTTGCTGTACTACTCCCTTGTGTATAATAAAAGAAAACCGTACTTACTATATAGTATTGTATTATGTATATTTTATAGATGTTATTATGCAAAGAATCAAAGATATTATATATATCGTCAGACAGAGCTGCCCCGTAAACCGTAGGCAGAGAGGGAGAAGGGGACAACAAGCGAGGGGCTGTGACATATAAAGTGTAGTATCTGTTCTGATCAGTTTAATATCTGATCCGTCGTCCATCGGGCCACATGATATTAAATTATTTTTTTCTGGGCTATGGAGGGGTCATAGGGGTAGGCTTGCCTGCTCGACCCCTCCAGCGTTGCCTTCGTCTTGCACTGCAGCGAAGCGTGGCGCGGCCAATTCCCGCCGGGGAACAAAAAAAAAATAAAAAAAAATAAAAAAAATGTAAATAGTAAATACCAATGTAATCGCCTTTTCAGCCCAGGGTGGCCTTTTGTTTATTGCCTTCCGGGAACCGGCAGTGGGGATAACCGGCCGGGGGACAGCCGGTAGCAGAGGGGCCGAGCATCATCTGAGTGGCCAGTCGCCGTGGCTCCTCTATTACCCCTCCCCCTATGAACATCAGCAGAGACTGTTTTTTAATGCGGATTGGGGGGACCAACGGGCTATCTCCAGGTGGCGGGTGCCAAGCACGCCCAGGAAGGTACAAGAGGCGAATGGGGATTGAACCCTAGACCTCCTGAATGCCACTTGTGTGCCTTACCAACTGAGATAGGCCGCTGGATCAATGCAAGTTACAGTGTTCTCTGCATTTTTTAGGTATCTATTTATTTATTTATTTATTTATTTATTTAGGGTTGTTCCCTAACCTAGAAAAAAGTAGAGTTCACCACAAGCCAGTGCCGCTTTCTATGGTTTTGACTCAAATTCTGGATTCGAACTCATGAGCTATTTATGGAAAGTTGCCCGTGTGCAGCATTCTTTTCCTTTCTTTTTTTCCTTTTTTTTGCCCTTTTTATTGCATTTGACTCAAACTCTGGATTCAAACTCATGAGCTATTTATGGAAAGTTGCGGGTGTGCAGCATTCTTTTCCTTTCTTTTTTCTCTTTTTTTTTCCCTTTTTTTTGCAAAGAAAGGTCAATTAGGTGCTGACCCAACAGTACGTATAAAGAGAAAAAACAAGAAAGTCCCTCAAAAGATGACAGCGGGTCATGCGGGGCGGAAAAGCAGACTGGGACCCCAGGATCGTCTCTGTGGAAGCCCCCAAAAATCTGCCGCAGTACTTGGGAAAGGCCGGCGGAACGTGTGACCTGGCCTCCTGAAGTGGGTGACATGGCAACTGCGGTACAGGTGGGAACAGCAGAAGCTGTCCCAGCAGCGTCTTGCACCAGGACTGCACAGCCGACCTGCAAGTCGTTGTTCGGTCGGTCCCATGCAAAATTTTGGAAACGGGCAGCCGAGTGTTGGGTCGCCCGCCTCAAGGGAAAATCATCCCCTGACGTCGTGCTGGTGCGTCGTTGGTGACAGGGGGTGTTCTGGAAGAGGCGTGGCATCCGCTATAGCCGCCGTGTGGCTGCAGAAGACGAAGGTGGACATGGGCGTGGTCTGGGGTGGCAGCGGGGTTCATGTGCTCACCTCTGGACAGCCATTTTGTTTGCTCCTGCGTACGTGTCACCGTCCGAAGTGGTGTTGATGTGCGTTAGTACTGTGCGATGGCTGAGGATGAGGCAATACGTGACGTTCGTGGTTGCACTTCTCGTCGTCCACGTCGCAAGGAACATCATTGCCGTGTACACAACATCGGCAACAACGTTCATATTGGCGCTGGAGCAGGCACACATGCAAGCCCATGGGAGAGGTCGGCAGTTGAGAGTCTGTGGTCGGCGCCGTTTTTGGGTGCACCCGCATGCCGGGGGGACATGGGAGGAGCTGCTGATGGAGGGTGTGGCGCACGATGAGAAGTTTCGCTCGTACACGAGGCTCACAAAACTGACGTTTGTCCACAAAACCGACGTTTGTCAGCATTTTGGAGCGCATCGCTCCGAACATCCAAAGGCAAGTCACTCCATGGCGTGCACCATTGGCAGCGGACTTGAAGTTCGCATGCGCTCCGTACAGATGGGCAACTGGTGGATATTATCGTCAATGCAGGAACGGCTTCGGCATTGGTCTACACAGCGCTGTCCGGTGCACTGATGATGTTTCCAAGGCCCTCATGCACGAGTATGGGACAACGTGCAGTGGTCGAAAGGGTCACGTCTGCAAGCAACGCTGGACTACCTCGAGGCAAGGGGATTCCCCGGTTGTGTCTGGCTTGTTGATTGTACTCATATCTACATGAACAAGCCACCTGGAGCGGGGGCATAGTCATACTACGATCGAACGACGCAGTACTCAATCGTCGCTCTCATCGTGTGCAATGAAAACCTGTGAATTTTGGATGTGTGTGGGGGCTCCTGGCTCTGCTCACAGCTCGCGCATTTGGCGGCTTTCAGAATCTGATGTGGGTAATCGTGCGGAGGAGGGGAGGGAGCCGTTTGCCAGACGAATGAACGTGCTATCCGATGGAACAGGGATCAGGAGGGATGTCTTGGGTGGTGCCAGACTTCCTCTGTTGCCATGGCTGATAACCCCTTTGGGCAATGCACACAATGCAGCGGAATCTGCATTCGACACCACTTGTCGGCTCTGCGCGAAAGCATGGAAAGGTGCTTCGGGCGGTTGAAAGGCATGTGGCGGTGTTTCGAGCGGCGACACATCCCCAACATGAGAAACATCTGCGAACAGTTCCTCGCTTGCTGCATACTTCAAGTTCACAATCTCATCATTGGCTTCCTATTGGCGAGGTTGTACTTCAACACGAGCGAGGGGAGGGCCAGCATGCGCGGAACCACCGATCGAGAGATGCAGCGGCGGGAGGCAATGACGTCGACGAAGAAGACGAACGGGGCAGCCGTGTTTTCGGCGGTCGGGGCAACGGCGTCGCGCGATAGATATATGTATATGTAAATAGATATCAGTGCTTTCAGGCGCTGGCATGCATAGACATGTCCATGGAGAGAGAGGTTTTTTTTTTAGGGAGGGAGAGAGAGAGAGAGAGAGAGAGAGAGAGAGAGAGAGAGAGAGAGAGAGAGAGAGAGAGAGAGAGAGAGAGAGAGAGATCATGGACAGACTCCATTCCATGACGCCGATGATGGCGGTATGAAATAATGACTATCTCGTTCGACACACTATGTGGCGATGAAATAATGTCGAGAAAGAAGAAACAAAAAAGGTTTTGGCATTGGTGTGGGCACTGTGGGGAGGCCTTACTACTAGTGGAACCTCACCCCTGCTTCTCAGAGCAGAGCAGACGCAGTCTGACACATGGGCAACAAGACGGCAAGAAAGGAAGAGTGAAGAGATGTAGAGGACACCAAGAAGAAGGAAGAAGAGACAAGTATATGGAGAAACTCACAAACGCGACACTTTGCTTGAATGATAAAACATGAGGAACCAGCAAATCACGGACACAAAACATCCGTATGGCAAGCAACCATACGGGTTTCTTCTGGTCTCGACCTCTCTTTCCCTCTCCTTCCTTCCCCCGACATCGTCCCAACTCTCCCTCCCTGATCCCGACCTGTCCCTCCTTTGTTCGCGTCTCCCATCCCGATCTCTCGGTCCCGACCTCCCATCCTGACCTCCCCGTCCTGACCTCTTCCTCTCTCCCCTTGCTCCCCCGATCCCGACATTGTCCCGAGTTGTCTCCCATTCCTAGATTCCTCCTCCCTCCTCCTCTATCCCGACTCGCATCCCATCCCAACCTCGTCCCGACCTTTTCCTTCTCCCTTTCCCAACCCGTCTCCCATCCCGACCTCCCGACTTGATCCCGACCTCTCGCGTATCGGAGCGCGACCTCCCAGTCCCTACCTCCCATCCTGACCTCCACGTCCCGACCTTTCCCTCTCTCCCCTTGCTCCCCCGACCACGTCCCAACCCGTCTCCCATCCCAACCTCCCGACCTGATCCCGACCTCTCCCTCACCTCCCCGTCGCGACCTGCCACCTTCCCTTCCTTCCCGTCTCGAACTCTCTCCCCCTCTCCTTCCTTCCCCCGACATCATCCCAACTCTCGCTCCCTGATCCCCATCTCTCCCTCCTCTGTTCGCGTCTCCCATCCCGACCTCCCATCCCGACCTCCCCATTCCGACCTCTCCCTCTCTCCCCTTGCTCCCGACTCCCATCCCATCCCGACCTCGGCATCGTCCCAACTCTCTTTCCCTGATCAAGACCTCTCCCTGTCACGCTCCCTTCCTTCCTGTTTCGACCTCTCTCCCCCTCTCCTTCCTTCCCCCGACATCGTCCCAACTCTCCCTCCCTGATCCCGACCTCGCCCTCCTGTGTTTGCGTCTCCCATCCCGACCTCCCGGTCCTGACCTCCCATCCCGATCTCCTCGTCCCGACCTCTTCCTCTCTCCACTTGCTCCCCCGACCGCATCCCAACTCATTTCCGATCCCGACCTCCCGACTCCCATCCCATCCCGACCACGACATCGTCCCAACTCTCCCTCCCTAATCCCGACCTCTCCCTCCTCTGTTCGCGKCTCCCATCCCGACCTCCCGGTCCCGACCTCCCATCCCGACCTCCTCGTCCCTCTCTCTCCCTCTCTCTCCTTGCTCCCCTGACTGCGACCTCCCGACCTGATCCCGACCTTTCCCTTCTCCGTTCCCGTCCCCCATCCCGACCGCGACCTTGCGCGACAAAAAAAAAAAACTCTCTCCCTTTGCTCCGACCGCGTCCCAACCCGTCTCCCATCCGGACCTCCCGACTCCCATCCCATCCCGACCTCGACATCGTCCCAACTCTCCCTCCCTGATCCCGACCTCTCCCTGCCACCTTCCCTTCCTTCCCGTCTCGACCTCTCTCCCCCTCTCCTTCCTGCCCCCGAGACCTCGACATCGTTCCAACTCTCGCTCCCTGATCCCGACGTCTCCCTCCTCTGTTCGCGTCTCCCATCCCGACCTCCCATCCCGATCTCCCCGTCCCAACCTCTCCCTCTCTCCCTTTGCTCCGCCGGCCGCGTCCCAACCCGTCTCCCATCCCGACCTCCCGACTCCCATCCCATCCCGACCCCGACATCGTCCCAACTCTCCCTCCCTAATCCCGACCTCTCCCTCCTCTGTTCCTTTGCTGCCCCGACCGCGTCCCAACCCGTCCCCCATCCCGAC